ACAGTAGTCTCTACCATGGAAGTCTTGAGTCGTTGGTCTACGTTTGACCAGCTAGTCACCGCCGTTAATACCTGCGTTCTTCCCGCTGGGACCAGTCTGGTGAATCTAACTGACGGCTGTGTGTGTCTCACAGTTCAAGCTGAAACTCTATTAGCTCTTATTACCTTGTGGAATTTATACCAAGATGGGACGCTGGAGAGGCGGCTGTACATTTTCTTTGTGACTGACGAAGTAAAAGAACGTGCAGGTGGAGAGACAGTTGAAGTGAATGTGACCATCGAAGAAGAAGAATACGACAAAGCCTGTCACGAGTTGATTAATGAAGCTCAAGGTAATTCAGTTTTGTAACCGCGAATTAAATCAGCAAAAGCGTTTCCTCTGGTTGGTCTAAAACATCTGTTGACTTGTCTGCAAGCTTGATCGACAAGCAAGAAGAAGAGATCTGACGATTCTTAAAAAATGAACCCAACAATCTGGGCAAGTCTTGAACAAAAACCTAGAGATTCATAAAAGAAGATATGACAGCCTAGCTGAGATAGCAGGAACTAGATGTAATAAAATTGAAAAGATACATGTGACAGGATTGAAGCCAAAACAGGAAAAGGACAACATTTCGGAGAGAGGACGAGTTTGGAGCATTTTCTACATCATTTCGCTACGAAAAGGTCTATGAAGTATCGGGGAACCTGTTTTCTTGGTAAGCTTGACATAATAATATTTGCAACTACTTTGCTTCTGTTTTTGTTGCTATTTTAGAAGCTGCAAGTATTGGTGACAGAGAAAGGATTCGGAGAAAGTCTGATTCAGATGTGTATTCCAGAACAAAAGAAGAAGTGCCACTGTTAAAGCTAAAACATGCTGAGACCAAATTGAAATTTCTTAAAGAGAGAATTGCAGCTATAGAGAAGGAAATCAAGCATTTTTCGCCAGAGATTCTAGAGGCACGAGGTCCTGAAGAAAGATCTGCCTTTTATGAAACACTCGAGATATCTGAAGGTGAGAAATTGATATTCTAAAGTATGCAAAAGAAATCCGAAGAAAAATATTGATGGCCGTTTTAGTACCTATTTGACTCGCGAGGTTTTCCTTAGGACCTCAAGCAATCAGAAACGAAGGCTAAGTATTTTCATGTAGTAAAATAGTGGAGAATTTCATCAAAACAGACTTTGTTCTTATGTAAACTATTTTAATAGGAAAGGAATGAAGATCATGAAACAAACTGGAGTGTAGACACTCGAACGCATTTATTTTTGCGTTTATTTAGGATTACCTAACGAGGCCTCTTGTTATAAGCAGGGGAATTCGCGTTTTTACTATAAAACGTTTCAGTCCTCTGTTTTTTTTCTAAGAGTTCATCATCTGATAATCATAAAAAAGTACAGAATTCAGACTCTTCTTTGAATCGCGATATATTATAGCAGGAGCCCAGGAAAAATGCAATTGTTTTAAAAAATATAATATTTAGAGCCCTTGAACACTTGTAAAAAGCAGTTTGAAACGATGTTGCTGAATTTGCCTCTAGATGAGTGTGAAATTCAAGGAAAGTACACAGTGGTATAAGCTTTTGTACGTAGCAACGGCCATAGCGACGGTTGTTTACAGTCAGATAGTCACCACCAATGTAGATCAGTTTCAAGAAAGATGAACGATACTTTGTAGAAAAGCTGCAACTCGATAATTTGAATTACTTGTGAAAAGTACTACCTGAATCACCATCAAAGGCTCAAAAGTAATATGTCCTACAACTGCGGTAACTTTTTACAAAATACAACAACCATTACACTCCCCCGATATGCAACCTGGAAAAGCCCTCCACTTGCTGGCTTGTTAAATGCTTAATACATCGTGTAAGAAACTTTAAGCGCATTTTTCTCAAGCGCCTACATTTATACCAACTAACTTCGCGCCAAAATGTCTACTTTGGAAAGTATTTAAGAGAAATTCCTGAAACTTGGGATAATCAAAGACCGATGGGACCAATAGTGTCGTGATGCANACTACCTTGTGGAATTTATACCAAGATGGGACGCTGGAGAGGCGGTTGTACAACTTCTTTGTGACTGACGAAGTAAAAGAACGAGCAGGTGGAAAGACAGTAGAAGTGAAAGTGAGCATCGAGGAAGAAGAATACGACAAAGCTCGTTTAGAGTTGATCAATGGAGGTCAAGGTAAGTCAATTTTGTAATCGCGAATTAAATCAGCAAAAACATTTTCAAACGTTTCATTTGGTTGGTCTAAAACATCTGTTGACCTGTCAGCGAGTTTGATCGACAGGTAAGAAGGATATATCTAACGATTCTTAAAAAATGAACCGAACAATCCGGGCAAGTCTTGAACAAAAACTTAAGGATTCATAAAAGAAGATATGATAAACTCGATAGCCTGAGCTACATGTAATACAACTTTAAAAGATACATGTAACAGGATTGAAGCCAAAACAGGAAAAGGACAAGATTTCAGAGAGAGGACGAGTTCGGAGCATTTTCTACATCTGTTCGAAACGAAAAGGTCTAAGAAGTATCGAGGAACCTGTTTCCTTGGCAAGCTTGACATAATTATATTTGTAACTGCTTTACTTTTTTTATTGCTATTTTAGAAGCTGCTGGCATTGGTGACGGAGAAAGGATTCGAAGAAACTCTGATTCAGATGTGTATTCCAGAACAAAAGAAGAAGTGCCTCTGTTAAAGCTAAAACACGCTGAGACCAAATTAAAATTTCTCAAAGAGAGAATTGCAGTTATAGAGAAAGAAATCAAGCAATTTTCGCCAGAGATTCTAGAGGCACGTGGTCCGGAAGAAAGATTTGCCTTTTATAAACAGCACGAGATATCTGAAGGTGAGGAATTGATATTCTAAAGTATATAAAGGAAAACTGTGATGCTTAATTGATTTAATCCCCAAGAAAAAAAATTAAAAGTCTTTTTCCCAATATGGATGGCCGTTTTAGTAACTATTTGACTTGCGGATTTTCCTAAGGAACTC